CAGCTTGCGTCATTTCAAAATACGTCGGATGATTTCACGTTTAGTCGACTGATTTCACGTTTAGTCGACTGATTTCACACTTAGTCGACTGATTTCACGCTTAGTCGACTGATTTCACGTTTAGTCGACTGATTTCACGTTTAGTCGAATGATTTCCAGTTTAGTCAACTGATTTCATGTTTAATCAACTGATTTCACGTTTAGTCAAAGGATTTCACGTTTAGTCAAATGATTTCACGATTAGCCAAATGATTTCACGTTTAGTTGAATGATTTCACATTTAGTCGAATGATTTCACATTTAGTCGAATGATTTCACATTTAGTCGAATGATTCCATGTTTAGTCGAAATTTAGCTGAATGATTTCTCATTTAGTCAAGTGATTTCACATTTAGTCAAATGATTTCTGGTTTTGTTGTGTAATTCAATAACACGGCAAATGGTTTGAAAACAGTATTAATCATCCAACAACTGAACAAATCGTTTGTACATGACTTGTTAAATCATTTCAAAACATATGAAATCATCATATGACGTCATCATATTACAACATGATGTTCAATTATTTCTGAACACGATGAGTCATTTGTGTTCCTAATGAATTATGACTGTTTATGTCCATTCATTTCACACATGCAGCATTTTTGGTGGTAACGGCCGCCCATACTGTTGGCTTTGATAAGGTTGCTATTTGGCAACACATTATAGATATCATGAATGAAAGGCGAAGAAGTGTGCGAAGAGGGTGCGACTGTACCTCGGTGAGATAAAAATTAATTGTGTTGTATATTTAGTCTGAATTATACTTATTAATTTTAATCATATATAGTGCTCGTTTTAAAGAATAGGAAGTCCTGGTTTTCATAAATATACAATACAGTCAGTAGTTTAGGCATGTGTGTCAAATGTAAAGTTTGTGTCACAGCATGGCTTACTATGGCCTGTGAAAAGACAGTTTTTTAGATGCTTTATATTTATAGTGAACAAATATAATTTACAGGTAGACAAGAGCAGGCACGGATCTAGGGGTGGGCAACATAGTCAAGTGACTATGGTAAAATATCCAGATAATAATTACCAAATTCCCAGTTCCCAATTCACAAAGTATTCATTCATAAGTGGAAACATGACAGTTAATTATTCATATTTTCATATCACAGTCCAGTTATTTTTAGATATATAGCTCATTGGTATTTACGCAAGCCATGAAGCAAGCCAATGAGAGGCAGCTATTTTGCCTATGCCTGGCGGCCGATACAGCCTTTTAATTGGCTTATAGCTTTTTTGCCTAACCAAGACGAATTTGCCTAACTTGACGTAATCTGGAAGCCTTATGATTGGGTAATTTTTTAAAATTCTATTCTTTCATTGGCTTGCATTTTTTGCCTATCTTTGGCGAGTTGAACCAATCACTGTGCTTCGTAAGCATGCCTGTGTTAGTCATGTTAGGCAAAGACTAGGCAAAGAGTGGAAACATGCCTTTTCAATCGCTCTGAGCATCGACGGATTAAATTTCGAAGTTAGCTTCTGCTTTTTCGCGTTCGCTTTGTTATTGTGTTATTTTACAATGTCTTCATCGCCTTGTAGTGATTTGTACGAGCCATTCGAACGATTTAGAGTGTCTAAATGATGCGATATTTATGCGACGTTCGATCTTTGTATTTATGAAGGCGACACGCTCAAGGCTAAGCTCAAATGTTTGTGTGGAGTTATATGTGCCGAAGCATGCTCGTAATGGCAAGAAAAAGGCTTGTGCTGCAATAAGTTAACTATATTTTGTTTATTCCATGCTACGCTTCTATATAACTGTGTTTTTAGATCTCAAATCGGCAAAATGATTGTCGAACAACAACAAGCATGGTTAGTCTTTATGTATTCAAATATAAATTTACATATGTCTGCACTGGCCGGGTCAAATGTTGCTATATATGAATATATAACTTAAATATGATATGAAAGACACAAACTTAGCATGTTCACTTTTAGTTACTTATTATTTTTCCGTATTCCTGATGTATATCACATGTATAAATACGTTCATATGAAAATTATGAGTGAATATACATCCTGGGGCGAAGCAGTTCAGCTGGTAGTCTGAAGACTATAATTTAAAAAATCGAACATCTTAACATGCTAGTAAATGAGTCATGCGTGACGTCATAAATGATGTCATAAAATTTGACTAAGGTATGAAAAATCCTAAATCCGCACCTGGACAAGAGGACATTGAAAAGAAAAAGTAAAACTTTAGCTAAAGGGTGCAGAGAGGTTAGTTTGATTAAAATGAAAACTAATAGCATGAAAAAAACAACTCTCATTAGATTGTAACAAAAAATTTGTTATCTTAGATATCATCCTTGGATGAATCAACCACTTTAGAGGGTAACAACTGCACACTAAGTCCCGATTCTGAAACACAAAATCCTGAAGATATGGAAACACAAAATCCAGAGGATTGGGAATTAACACAAAATCCAAAAGAGTTGAAAACACAAGGTGACCAATTACCCACCATGCAATCCTTTTTTGATAAAATTGGCAACTCTAAAGGTGAAGTAATCATAAAGAATATAAGTATATAGAGAAGAGTAAATATATACTAATTTTTTTTTTTCAGGCCACCTTCTAGAAGGAAAATTAGTTTTCTCCTGAAGATTGAGTAGCTACATATTGATATTATTTCATAAATACATAAATTGTTTCAAAGACAGTCTAATGATAGAAGACAATGGTTACCAGCAGTTGATATCAAGCTGTACTACAGTCTATAACACATTAATTGATTATGTGTATTCCAATAATGCTCTTAATGATGAGGTTGTAACAAGAAGTATTAATCATAATGGGTAATGCGGGCTCAGATAGTAGAAATGTATAAAAGAGTTGTAATTTTATAAAATATTATTATTTAATCTACTGAACTGAGTGACTAAAATGATATGTGTAACATGGTGTCAGGTGTGGGATTAGCCTGAGAGAAACATGTCGAAAGCAGAAACATGTCGAAAGCAGAAACAAGTGAAATAAGTTGACCAATTTCACAGTTAAAACCACCTACTGAATTTGATTTAGATGTTTCAAATGTGGCACACTCGTGGAAACGATGGAGAAATGAGGTGGAATTGTACATGGAATTGGCCATGGTGGGAAAGAAGGAAGAAACAAAAGTTAAGCTCTTTTTATACATAGTAGGAAGTCAAGGTCGAGAAATATACAAGACATTGTCGTTTGATCAGGAACCCGAAGAGCAGAGCTTTAAATGTGTTATAGAAATGTTCTCAAACTATTGTGACCCAAGGAAAAATGAGACAGTAGAGCGATATAAGTTTTTTATGAGGGTTTAGGAAGCAGGAGAAACCTTGGATAAGTTTATAACAGATGTAAAAATTCTAGCTGTAATGTGTAATTTCGAACAGCTTAAAGAATCGTTGATCCGAGACTGAATAATTTGTGGCATGACTGACTCGAAGTTACAACAAGATTTGTTGAAAATTCCTGATTTGAGCCTGGATAAATGTATAGAGGTAGGCGATGAATTTATGTATAGACAGTTGACCGCAGGCGTAGGCGGACAAAGCAAACGAAAATGCAAATATTGTGGAGGTGTGCAGGAGTGGAATAAAACACTGTGCCCTGCGTTTGGGAAAGAGTGTAGAAAGTGTCATGAGTTAAATCATTTTGCGTCTGTTTGTAAAACTAAAAAAGAAAATATTGTCAAAGACGTAGACACTTCTAGTGATAGTAGTGACTATGATGAAATTAAAATGGTCAAGAGTGCTAACAAGCGGGATTTAGAACAGTCGCCTAGAATGGAACAATTCTCATAGCGATTGTATGCCTCAATAACTGTTGGTAAACAGCCGGTCAATTTTCAATTAGACAGTGGGGCAACATGTAATGTTATGCCATTATCTATGCTAGAGCGGTGTTTAGGAAAAGTACAATTGGACAATACGAGCAGAGTTCTGAAGATGTATAATAGAACGACTGTAAAGCCGTTGGGACAATGTGTTTTGCAGTTGAGAAATGAGAAAACCGGTAAGAACTATGAAACTGAGTTTGCTATCGTGAAGCAAGATTGCACACCATTGTTAGGCAGTGAAGCAATTCAACAAATGAATTTGATAACAGTTAGATATGAGAATATATTATTATTGTCAGTTAAAACAAGGAAATTAGCACTTACTAAGGATACTCTTATACAACAATATCCAGATGTGTTTCAGGGGACTGGAAAATTTGATGAACAGTATCATTTAACAATTGATCCTGATGCAACACCCGTGGTCAGTGCCTATAGCGCTAAAAAATGATTTGAAAGTCGAATTGGATAGGTTGGAGTCTGAAGGTATTCTTAAGGTGATGACAGAACCAACACCTTGGGTTTTGAGCATGGTCATTGTTAGAAAACCGACTGGCAAATTGCGTACATGTACTGACCCGAAAGATCTGACGACATCTTGGTGATTAGAAATGGTATGACGTATGAAGAAGCACAGTGAGATCATGACGAGAAAGTTCATGCATTGATGCGTCGGTGTCGTGAGAAGAATATGAAGCTGAATGCAGATAAAGTCAAGTTGGGGTGTAATGAAGTTGCATTACCTGTTGACAGATAAAGGGCTAAAGCCTGATCCAGACAAGGTGAAGGCAATATTGGAGATGCCTAAAGATGTATCTTGGCGGTGGGCAGAGGAACAACAGCTAGCGTTTGATACAATGAAACGATTAGTTGGTGAAATAACGAGTCTCAAGTATTACCAACCTAGTGAAGAGCTTACTCTGCAATGTGATGCATCTGAAAAAGGTCTGGGAGCAGTTATTTCGTAGAATGGCCAACCACTTGCGTTTACAAGTCGAGCTTTAACTGCTGAAGTCAACAACGCTCAAATAGAGAGAAGGAGCTTTTGGCTGTGCTTTTTAGGTTGGAGAAGTTTCGCCAGTATACATACGGCCATCCGGTGCAAGTTCAATCTGATCACAAGCCGTTGGAGAGTATCATGAAGAAGCCTTTGTATCTAGCACCAAAAAGACTACAGAGAATATTGTTAAGACTGCAAGGATATGATATTAATTTGGTATATCGAAGTGGTAAGAATATGGAGCTATCTGACACACTGAGTCGAGCATATCTTCAGGAAGAAGGTAGAACACCAGTCGAGATGGAAGTGGAGTCAATCAGCGTGATGCACAGTTTACCTGTCGACTCGGCCAGACTGGATGATATTCGGGCGAGTGTAGAGAACAATAAAAGTATGCAAGAACTAAAAAAAGTTGTATTAAATGGTTGGCCAGATAAGAGAAGTGACGTATTGTGTGATGCTGGGCAATATTTTCGTGTACGTGACGAATTGACCGTCCATGATGGACTGATTTTTCGAGGAGAGAGAGTGTTGGTTCCACGAGGTCTGAGGAAGCAGATGATTCAACGTATTCATTCGACTCATATCAGAGCAGAAGGGTGTTTACGTCGTGGAAGAGAATCTGTCTATTGGCCAGGAATGACACAAGATATTAAAAAACACACTGCACAGTGCGCTGTTTGTTGATCGTTTGATAACAAGCAATCCAAAGAAACACTGATTCCTCACGAAGTACCCAGTAGACCATAGGCAAAAGTCGGAGTAGACCTTTTTACATTTAAAGTGCCTATATCACTTGTGGGACCTTTGCGGATTTGAAAAGAGCACACAAAATTAGTTAATAAGTTCTTCAACCTTTTTTGATTTAGTTCAATACTTTTGGAGATTTTTAAGCCTAAACATGACAATTTTGGCCTTTTCTGAAAAAAGTCCGTCGTGTATATTTGTGTTTGGGGGCCTGGGACTCAGGAACCTAATTTGCAAGCACGCCGTCTTTCCATATTAAAAACATATATTTTCGCTTGTGATATATGTCGCGTTCTTTCAAATAATGCCTGAACGGTGCGTTGTCTACGGCTGTGATAACACGTCCGATTCGACGAAAGGTATATCTTTATACCGTATTCCTTTTTTGGACGATGAACGTCAAGTAGCGAAGAGCAGGCGAAAGCAATGGCTGGCCTTTATTCAGCGCAAGAGAGACCAATGGAAGCCAAGTGCAGGTTCAGTTGTTTGCTCTGATCACTTCACGGAAGACTGTTTCGAATACGGTTCGGACACTGTAGCGAAATACAAGACCCCAAAGCTAAAGCGAGATGAAATTGGCATAAGTGCGGTGCCTACTTTGCAGACAAAAGCGCACAATTTGGAGAGTGAACGCAGTACGCGCATTCAACGGAGAAGGAAGGTATGCATGAGTTTTAGAATCGTGCTTATTGATACACATCTTCATTTTATATTTAAACTTGGGGCATACTGTATATCATACATAATTATATGATGGTTTTCATTCTTTATACTGTAGTTAATACGCGGAGAAGAAAAATCTTTGTCTGCGGTTGAGACTGAGAGTCCGCCTTCTACGTCAACAGGCGTAAGAATTTTTGCATTTACATGTGACTGTTTGAACATCTTGAAACCGTAAAACAATTGAATGATTGGCGCACATATAAATAAAATGTCTACATTTAATAGATATCATTTGTGCAGCCTTTGATTACGAGTGAGCCTGAGATTTCAGCGACAACAAGCGTGAGTATTTTGAACTTTAAAACGATGTATCATGTTTCTTATCAAACCTTTGGCAGTTTTAGTCACAATGTATTAACCTTGGACACAATGGAAAGAAGATGCCAATTTATGCTAATAGATAAATTGCATTTTTGTTTGTTATAGTTTGGTGAACATTCGGAAAGCATTCAGTGTAGCAATTGTCAAGAACTGTTGAAGCAGAATAGAAAGCTGAAGATGAATTGGCTTACAGCCAAGCATAAGCTGAAAATTTTCAGAGAGCAAATGAAAGGCAAATTAGGTGCTTTACTTTTGGTTTTATACAATGTATTATAAAAAGCTGTGTCTCAGGTATATATTTACTGCATTAAAAATAGTAACAATTTCTTTGCTCATTGATAGACACAGAAAATGTTTCTGAAAATCTCCTGAGCAGCAATCCAGCAATCCAACAGATCAGAAGTGATGATGAAACTGCCAGTTCAGATGTTGAATTGCCAATGTCAGATGACGTGTTTCAAGAGGAAGTAGAAATGGAAATAGAAACAGAGACTGAAACAGAGACAGAGGATGAGGCAATTCCACAACATCGAAAGTGAGTATGCAACAAACTTGTAAGAAGGTCTAGGTACAAGTAATAGTAGTTAGAGACATGAAGCTGCAGTCAGCATAATCAGCTGTATCAATCAAAACAATTCATCCTATTTTTTAATCTTTCAGGGTTTATTTTAATGATTCCAATTTGCGGCAAGAGCCAAAGTTCATCGTCTTCTTTACTCAGTTGCTTGCACTCTTCAACTTTTGTCATACATGCAAGCATGACAATCCATTGGTTGAAGTCCAAGAGAATGGTACAATGGCAGAGACAACATCAACCTGTGCAAACCCAAAGTGTGGCAAGACAAACAAGTGGTTTAGTCAACCTAATATGCCTGGCACAAAGATCGCAGCTTGGAATTTCCTGCTGTCATTTAGTATCCTTGTTGGTGGGACATCAGCCACAAAGGTCTTGCGGGTTTTCAGGCATATGGGATTGAAATGCATCTCACTGTCAACCTTCTTCAAACACCAACGTGTGAGTGTCACTGGTCATAAAATGTTATTCAACAGAACATGATTGTAATTGAGATGCAAATGGAATATATAAATTATTTTTTTATATATAGATGATGCTTTTATATTTTCAGGAAAAGTTATTCCCTGGAATCTATAACCACTGGAAAAAGTATCAACAGGGGTTGATTGAAAAAGTGAAGAACCATGGTGACCTGGTGGTAGCTGGCAATGGAAGGCACGATAGCATGGGCCACAGTGCAAAGTACTGTGCTTATACAGTATTTTGCTGTACAGTCCCATTCATTATTCACTTTGCACTTGTGCAGGTACTGTAATATTTGCTGTGAAAATTGTAGATTACTGTAGCTGATATACTTTGGAGTAAATATTGCCATAAGTAACTTTAGTTCTAATTATAATTTATTTATTAACAATTTTATTTTTTTCAACCTCTAGAGAAATGAAGTGGGCAGCAGTGCTGCAATGGAGTACCATGGATTTGTAAGGAGCATTGAATATCTTCTGGGGTGTGGTTTGATTATGAAGACTTTTGTATCCGATCGACACACAGCAATTGCAAAGCACATGAGGGAAAAGCTGGCCAACCTCAATCATTACTTTGACATTTGGCACTTGAAAAAAGTATGTAAACATACAATAATATCATTACTATACAGGTCTGAAATCAACCAGTGAGAAATTCATATTCTTGCATTTCATTGCTAGCTTGTCATGTTGAGGTCAATTATGACAATATCTACTTTCCTAAAAATATTATGAAGGTTTTCATATTCATTTTCATTTTTTTTTAATTGTCAATTGGTAGACAGTACTGTCAAGTTTAGTGCATATTGAAATGAGCATATTTAATATGAAAATGTTACTTTACACTTTCATGCATAAATTAAATGTGTTTGTGTTCTACAACAGTCGATAAATTTAGTGTATTCTTTTTCTACTGTAGAGGTAACGAAAGTCCTGACAAAACTTGCCAAACTAACTGGCTGTGAGCTGATCAGCGAGTGGATCAGACCATGCACAAATCATTTATTCTGGAGTGCCAGAACAACACAGAATAGAAATGGAGATGTTATATGGGCCAAATTTTCATCATTCTTCAGCCATGTTGTGAATAAACACAAAAATTTGAAAAACCCATTGTTCAACAAGTGTGCTCATGAGGATGAGATTCAACCGCGCAAGTGGTTAGATGAAGGTTTGTACTATCTGTAATTCAAATACTTTTCCTTCTGTTTTTTGCTAAATGAAAATTGAGGCCAAAATTTAATTATGCAAATGAGTACTGGTGATGGTGGTGAGCAATTTAGGTGCAGTTTAATATGGTGACTGTCTACTATATATTTACATACCTGGAGTAACTACTACTGCAGTATTACTATGTACAAAAGTTTCAATTCTACAATGAGAAAGAATGTCTTTATGTCTCCTTTTTTTCAGATTCAGTTGCTTATGAGAAAATGGTTGGTGCTCTAACCAATACTAGGTTGATGAATGGCATTAAAAAGGCATCTCCTGTTAGTCAGACAAGCTGCCTTGAGGGCTTCCACTCAGTCCTGAATCAGTTTTCGCCCAAAATGATTGGTTATAGCTATCCAGGGATGTTCTGCAGGTATATGAATAATGGTGTAGTAATTTTTTACAGTTTGAACGTAGTTCCAGGTACAGTGTATTTGCAAGTTTTCAAAATCTCATATTTTTTTAATATTTTAGGCATGCACTTGCGGTTATTCATTTTAATGAAAACCTGAATAGGAAGAACGGAATGAAGGATGGGGTTGACCAAGTACATGTCATATATCCAAAGTTCAAAAATGGAGAGGCAGTTGTTCGAGATGTAAAAGTGGAGCAAACCTTTAGTATGTATATACTGTATTTCATAGAACAGTGTTGTAATGGTTATTTTGGTTCAACAATATATAAGGATGTTTCAACTTTCAACTATTTCTGTCCTGCATTTTCCAACAGAACTATTCTGAAACATGAGGGGGGGGGGAGTGACAAGTGATCTAGGAAGTCATAATGGGCAACCAGTTCAGTTCTTCTCAGTATTCTTGTAATAATCATATTCTTTTGTTTAAGATTATGTTGATGAAATATACAACACCATGGCTGATGCAATCATCAACAAGAATGAGTTAGAGAAAGCAATGGAAGACATAAAGAAAGAAACACCCTTGCCAATGAATACCATGCTTGAGAAGCAGCCACGCAATGAGGCCATTGAAAAGAAAAAAGCACGAGAAAGCATGTCGATTGTGGATGTGCCACCAACAAATCCAGGTAAGTTGTTAGTTTACAAACTTGTCTTATTAGCCATCCCAGTCTTATAAATTAACTCAGGTTGTACAGAGAAGCATTCATATGACTTTTTTTCTCTTTTGACAGTGCCTGTTGTGGCAGCCTCAAGTAAACCTGCTGGCACAAAAACAAGAAAACGGCCTAGGTGCAAAGACTGTAATCACCTAATGCAGGGGCACAAAGATGTCAAAGATTGCCCCAGAAATAAAAAATGAATAGATTGAAAAGGTGTACTGTCTACTTTTTATTATTTAAGTGTTCTACATGTAGTAGCAATATACTCTACAATGGGTTATTGTTTCCAATACCAGTTTTGATAAAAAGTAATAAAAATAACAGGAGCATGCCATAGTATCATACATTATTAATTAGCCATGAATATATTATTTGAAACATATACAACTATAGAAACTTAAAAGATTAGTTTATATATACACAGGTAAATGTAAATTAGTTCTCTTCTACCACGTCCTCATACCCTGCAAAGTTGCTATCCTTTTCTTTAAATGCTGTGCGGATTGCATGGTATGCACATGCTGGCAATGGTATCCTCTTGTCTTTTAAATAGCCATGAACAAGCAGAGTGAATTGTCGATATGCAACCACACGGAGAAACCTGAAAACATAGACAGGCATATTTTAATTTATAGTGTTTGATTAGGTGTTATGATTAGGTACAATATACATATCTAGTAGGGGTAATGTATGGCCAATTTGTGATTTTACTGTAAACACAAGGTCAAGACTACAAAAATTATGGACAATATAAGAATATTATTCTTATAGTAGTTCGCAAACAGTAGATCTGGAAAATTACGCTGACTGTCTGACCTATCTTTTGAATCCACTTGTCGATATTTTTGTCCACTGCGTGTTTTGAATTTGTCGGATGCCAGTTCCAGCGACCATCTGTTGAGACAAACCGCATCGAATCCAGGGTGGTTTGTGATGCATACTTGTTGGCTGTTTGCAAGAGCCAAGGCATCAACACATTTCGGAATCTCTGTGCAACATCGACATTCCTTTGCCTCTACTAAAACCTCTGTACTACAAAGGCCACAATTGCACCTATAAAGAATCATTAAGCCTTAATTTCTTAGTCTTAATAACTATTGTGGTTTGAACAGTGAAATAAAGCAGATGTTATGAACATTCTGTCTGGCAACCAAAAATATCAGGCGACAAAAATTAGAAGAATATGGTTTGATCATCTTACCAAGAATTTATGGGGTTTTGTCCATTTAGTCGAAGATTTAAGTCCCTCATTTCTCTGACTTGTTCTTCTTGCCTTCTTACATATTCCTCGACCCAAGATTCATCTGCAATGGGCTCATCAGTGTAGGCAAACGAGTCCATACTGTCACGAAATTCATCTTCGATGGCATACTGCGACTGATCACTCTCATGTCCATCTTTCGACTTCGTTTCGAAATTTTCGTCCTCAATTTCATATGCAAGAGAAGCATTAGAGTCTTCGCTAACATTATCGGATGACTGTGAGCTAGACATAGCAATTTATTTCCCAAATAATTTGTTTTCGTCTCTCGCGATGCTAAAATGCAATTGATCTTATATACCTTGACGACAGATTGGTTCCTGAGTCCCAGGCCCCCAAGTGCAACAAAGCACCACGGAAATTTTTGAAAATTGTCATGTTTAGGCTTAAAAATCTCCAAAAGTACTGAACTAAATCAAAAAAGGTTGAAGAACTTATTAACTAACTTTGTGTGCTCTTTTCAAATCCGCAAAGGTCCCACAAGTGATATAGGCACTTTAATCACCGTAATTATTTGATAATTGTCGACTATTTTTCAGGATTCTGGGAAATAGATCTGTTGGAGAATGTCAAAGCAAAAACGGTGATTCAAAAGATGAAAGCGCAGTTCGCAAGATACGGAGTTCCAGATGTGTGTATGTCTGACAATGGTCTTCAGTTTGTGTCTGAAAAACATCAGAAGTTTAGTAAGAGTTGGAAATTCCAGAGAATGACATTTTCACCCAGATATCCCCAGAGCAACGGCCGTGTAGAAAATGCCGTCCAAGCAGTGAAAGGTCTAATGAGGAAGGTGAAGAAAGATACCGTGGACATGTATTTGGCAGTATTGGATTATCGAGTATTTCGATAAGTTTGCAAGGAACGGAAAGTTCTCCGGCACAGCGACTGATGTCACCAAGAACGAAAACCTTGCTCCCGACAACACCAAAATTATTGGAACCAAAGGTTGTAGAAGCCCATCATCAAGAAATACTAAAAAGTCAAGAACGTCAAGCAAAGTACTATAATAGAGGGGCTAAGGACTTACCACCTTTAAAGAAACAGGGTAAAGTGAGAATTCAAGATAAAGGACAAGGGTTCAGTAATGGCCCATCGGTCAAAGCGACGGTGAAAAAGAAAGTTGGTATTAGATCGTACGAAGTTGAGACACAACATGTATAAGTTCTAAGAAGAAATCGAAGTCATCTCAGGAAAACTATCGAAGAAGATGAATCTAGTGTGACAACACAGTCAGAAAGTAGAACCAATGAAAAACGGACAGAATGCAGGGAATCAGAACAGACCGAGACGAGTCGGTCAGAACAAATAGCAGAGGGTCGAGGACAACAGACCGAAGAAATACGAACTCGGTCGGGATGTGTAATAAATAGACCGCAGTGTCTAAAGGATTATATATCAGTTGTTCATTAAGATTCAAATACATTGGAGAGGCACATAGATCACAGTATTTGAAGCACTAAATATTGTTTGGTTATAAAAAAAAAACACGGACAATTAGGTTAAAATTTAGGACAATTAAGTTAAAACTTAGACTTCAGTATTTGAACTAGTATAGTGAGTGGATTTGGTCAAATTACTTAGGTTGTATAATATAGGATGTAAAAAAAAGATGTAAAAAAAAATTTGTATAATATTCTATCTTTATTTTAAAGAAGAAAGGATGTAACAAGAAGTATTAATCATAATGGGTAATGCAGGCTCATATTGTAGAAAGATATAAAAGAGTTGTAATTTTATAAAATATTATTATTTATTCTACTGAACTGAGTCACTAAAATGATATGTGTAACAGAATCACATTTTGCTCTGGGGTCTTCGAAACATATTTTAGTGATCATAAAATTATCTGGATTAGCTTCAGCCACTGAGAAGATATAACGGCACCTTTCATAATATTGGTGTGGCCGGTAAACAGAACTGTGTTATTAAATTATAAACCATTATAAACCGTTGTTGCAAACATTGCAACATATGCCCACATTCATACTATATACTCAAATTAAATGTCTCAGGTAAGTACAGTTTTATTATTACCTAAATCTTAATTACTCAACTACCCTAATTCTTCACTCTTGGAAGTCATCATATATTCCCTATTTTTTTTATTTTTTTTTAGGAAATAGTCCAAAAATCATGAAATATAATGTTGCTCACCACTGAAAGTTTAGATTGCAGGCAGTACTGTACCTTTCACAAGCAGCCAGTGTCTGATTGATCGTCTAGCTATCATACTCTAGCTATCATACTCTAGCTATATTGCTCAGGTTTTAATTAACCCATTGAATAAACTGATATTATTATAAAACACCTATTGGGTACAACCTAGCTGCCGTCTAATAACGTCCAGTTGTAATCTGTTGTCAATGGTGGACAAAAACATCAAAGCCAAATAATGGTATGACATTGAAGTATTTGTTAATAATAACCTAAGTCAGAATTATTTGTCTAAATACTGTAAAATAGCAACCTCATATCTCAAACATTGTAGCAGGGTTATCTGATTTAAAATGATTATTGACTATATTCCAATATGTACAATCTGCATTGCAGTATCATAACGGGTAAACTGGTGCTAGTGCTATGATCATTGCTGCTGCAGTAAGTGGATGTATAAGCCTTTTATTGTTCAGTACAGCCTTATTTCAGCTTCAACTATATTACACCTGGAGATTTTGTGACAAATGGAAACATAATGATCATGATGTTTAACTAGATTTTGGTAATCTCGATCACAGTTGCCATCTGCAAATCTGTAAAGATATTTTCTATGCTATGGCATATGCGTTGCAGTATAATTCATGGAAAACTGTAACTACTGTACTGCATACAAGAATATCAAAATGATCATTTATCACACTCTGTTAGTATGGTATCACTCACTCAAGTTAATGGATACTGTTGAGAACAATCTCAAATTCCATAGCATTTTATATATAGTGCTGAATAATTATCTATGTTTTACACCTGGATAATGGATTATTAGCCACAATTGTCACTAATTTCAACAGTTGCATCTTGCACCACATTAATTTGTGACCAAGAGCAGCCATAAAGTGTCACCACCCCCCACTCCAGGATGTGCTCACAACTTTCTACAGCAAGATAATGTGTAGTACACCAGACTGACCTAAGCCAGGAACCAGCACCGACCAGCACAACAATCTGCTCCAACCACCACTCCATACTGCAGTATGATGACCTGAGGTAATCACAGTGCCTACAGTAACAAGATAATCTGTTGTGTTGCTACCACCACTTGCCACACTATGGAGGCACTCGTAGTGTAAAACAGTCACCACTTATACTGCAGCAGTGCATGATAACTGTGCCAGATGATACTCACCAAGTGCTACAATTGAGTACGATAGTTCATAGTTTTTGTGGGTAGCCCGTTTGAGGGGCTAGCCACTATGCTACACAAAAAACGATGAGTGATGATGCATGTCCATATGTCCATAAATGTTCATAAATGTCCCAAGACTCTCATTCACAGTTCAACACAAATGTACATAAATGTCCCAAGACTCTCACTCACAGTTCAACATAGCACACATGGTCGCGAAGCGAAATCGTAATCGTTAAAATGACCTCAAATTGTAAGGATATTTTAATTTTCAATATTAAAATTATAGCATCTTTTGTTTTAACCATTGCATAGAAAAGCAGTAAAATCTAGATGAGTCCATCTGGGTGGAAGCTAGCAGGTGTTCATTTCACATTTGAAATTACAAGCAATTTTTTTGTCTCTTTAGAAAACAAAGAGTTGTCTGGATATATTCATTGCGTTTCTCCCACGAAAGGAAAATCTGGAACAAAAAAGTATTTTGATTTTGTTATACAAACTGAAGATGACGTTATATGGGGCATATCCTTCTCCCCGGAACAAAAAAGTGAAATTGAACACTTTTCAAAGTCAAAATCCCCAGTAAAAATCAGTCA